TTTTACACTGAATGTTACCAGAACCTCTTGAGATCCTGCTGATACATAACTAGAATCTGAGTCAGCAAGAGCCCCCAAAGTTCGGTGCTTATTTCATTTATTCCTAGACAAAGTCATCCAGCCTGCCACGTGCCCATAGGGCCAAGTAATCAAACCTTCCCCATCACTTACGTTAAAGGGAAGATGCGTGAGGGCTTCATTAAGCAATAAGGGCTGATGTGGGCCAGTCCTGTCCCCAGCTGACTCCTCTTGTCATAATGCAGGGGTTGCCACATGGGTCCAAGAGGCATGTTTGAAGACCTTCATTAAAAAGTTTCTGATGTCGATCAGTCTGGAAAACACTACAGACCGATTTCTGAGGCTTCAATCCACAGTCTTGAAATGGAAAAGAATCTCAAGGGTGCTCATCCAGTCAAAATCACTCCAAAACTGAACTCTAAAATTGCTCTAGATGCCATGAAGAATCTCAAAACAGGACCCTCTAAGCCTCTCTTGGCTTTCCTGTCATGGGGTTCGTGATTCCATCATTGGAAAGGCACTGACTAAAAATGGGGCTCCTGAGAGGGTAGTAAAGCAAAAGGGCCCCAGTGCTTCCTTCCAGTGTTCCAAGAAGCCCTTCAAACACCAGGAGAAATGCGATGGACACAGGTAAGATAGCAAGGAAACTTCCTGGGTTACAAAGCTGCTAACGTCCAATGGAAACAAAACCATGAATTCCACAACAGTTTTTATGCCACCCCATGTACAAAGGTGGCAGCATTGTGATTCCAGGATGCTTTGCTGACTCAAGGCCTGGACTGTTTACTGTCCCTGAGGAAGCATTAGCTCCACCTCGGAGCATCGGGCCATCTATCCTTCAGCTGAAGCACAAGAGAACTCTGCAGCAAGACAATGATCCCTTACAAAACAGAAGAGAGAGAAGCCTACAAGAGAATGATAAAGAATCAAACCAGCACTTTGGAAAAGCCAAAACACGATTCAGACTTAAATCACACAGAAATGTTGTGGTGGGACTTAAGATAGGAAAGCCGTGTAATAAAAAACCCCAAGTGTTATCAAACAAGTCTGCAATGAAGCAATGGGCCAAAATGCCTACATAGCAAAGTTAAAACATTAACGCTAATTATAGGGCTGCAATTATTACTGATATGTTGCTGCATCAGTTACTGAATCTTAATTTTTTTTTTACACTGGAACATAACATGTGGGAAGACTTTTGTTCATGATTTACCTTAAACAAGCACCAAAAATTGGAGCTACTTGTTGACTCACACTAAACTCCCCTTTAAAATTTAAAAGGGTCCATGAGCTTTGATATTACTCAATGGCAAAGATTTACAAAACTTCAATATATTGCAAAGAAGTGAATTCTTTTCACAGAAATATAAAAGACAGATAATCAGACACACATTACAAAAATTGTCTCCCACAATGTATACATCAGAATCACATTACATGAACAGTAGAGTGAGTCGATTGTGAAATGGGTGGCTATGTAAATACAATTTATAAATAATAAATGAACAATAGACACTCTTCAGTCTTTTCTCAATAAAATTACTGATTGTGTTCTTACTATCCACCATTTAATTGCTGCTGTTCTTGTTTGCTGCATTATTTAGTCTACTTTTAACTTTGATATTGTACTGGCATATTTTATTACGGTCATATCTTTTGGTTATTCGTATTGTATTTTAAAATTTAGCATGGCATCCTCAAAGAATAAATTATAAAAATAACTAATCCTTGGTACTTCTGGATTCAACCATTTTTCCACAATGCCAAAGTATAACCTTGTTTGTCTCAAACGCTGGCCAGAGAGGTCCATTGCAATCAATCCATACAGATAAATGTTCTCTTCATAATAAGGGCTCAGACATGCTGATTTCAGCCTCCTAAAAATATAAAATAATAAACAACCAGATAAAAATAAATCAGGCTGCTAAAACCTCCTATTAAAAAGTGAAATAGGAAGGACCAAGCAGGTAGTCCTATTTTTTTCCCACGGCAACCGGGTGGCTCTGGGTCTCCCTGCTCCTGGGCCAGGCATGCAGGAGGGTCACCCACTGAATCATGCCAACCTGCTGTGACAGTCAGTGGCCTTATCTTTGAGGCCAGGGCTGCCCGGACAAGACCCATCAATGGAGCGTTTTCACAGCCGTCTGAGGAAAAAACCGACTTGCTAAATGTATCTGGTAAATGGCTGCAAAACATCCAGAAAAAGAGCCAGCTTTTTTAAAATGTGTAAAGTAAGAATGGTTGCTTCAAATCGCTGAACAGAATTCATGTGGTATATGCCATTTCCTTATACTCAAAACAGAAACAAATTACAAAAACTAATTTCTGTCTACACTGTATGGATTGTACAATTACTGTTCCCATACGAATGTAACAAATAATAACAATAATAATTACAGCCAAACTATTTCAGACACCAAAACTGAATAGTATATCTAAACAGTGTTTATGAATTGCCCCAATTTAATTTACTGCTTAAATCTGATTGTCTCTTAATTCTTAAATAATCTGAATAAGTTTATTGCAGAATCCAATAACTTTGTTATTGTAATTTTATTGTTTTATGGCCATTTTTCTATAGAAAGAATAATTTTAGCACATTTCCTTGTTTACACTAGATTTTCAAAATATTCCCCATGAATAACATGTATGATATAACAATTATGGTATTTACAACAAATAACAGATACATGTAAAAAATATGCATGATAAAGCAATTCCACTGTATTGTTTAACTTACATTGTTATATCAGAATAAATAGGACTTCAGCCATGAACAATTGGAGGAAAGCCTGAACTAAAACTTTTTCCAGGAATCCAGCAGAGCCACACAAGAATATGAATGTCGCCAAAGACCAAAGGAGATTAAAATTAAAACAGAGATGCTGCAGTACACACCCACTCATAAGGCACTTAAAATGGATTTTGCAAACTTAAAACAAGCATACAGGTAGTCCTTGACTTACAACCACAACTGAGCCCAAAATTTCTGTTAAATGAGACATTTTACAACCTTTCTTGTCACAGTTGTTAAGTGGATCACTGCAGTTAATTTAGTAACAGGGTCGTTAAGTGAATCTGGCTTCCCAATTGACTATGCTGGTTAAAGTTACAAAAGGTGATCACATGACCTCGGAACACTGCAATAGTCATCATCCGCCTCTGAATTTAGATCACGTGACCATGGGGCTGCTGCAATTGTCGTAAGTAGTTAAGGACTACCTGTATTTTGCAAATAAAATTCAATTCTGCCTTCATCTGGACACAAAACTGGCCCCTGGAAAGGCAGAAACCCAGGAAATAAAGTTGTTATAATTTTCAGTACAGCAAAACATCAGTTGCAATCTGCTCTTATTATAAACCTATTATATTTTGTGTTAAATCTCTATTGACAATTCCCATTTTTCAGAATGGCATATTCTAATATTTATCAAAAGTATTTTCACCCTGCAAATATCAGTAATGAGTAAGATTTTTAATAAAGTACTCCAAACGTGTAAACATGAAAAAAAGGGGGCGAAGGTTGGAGAAAAAAAGAAAAGCAGGTGCGTCCTTATCACAAATTTTGACAGTCGGATGGAATAGCTGCCCTTCAGGGGAAGCCCAGGCTTCAGCATCCTCATTCTGAGAAAAAGGATCCCGATGGGGATGGCAAAACGAATGCAGGGACGTGGGGGATGGCAAAACGAATGCAGGGACGTGCAGGGAACAGCACAGAAAAATGTGAAGCAAGAGAGCTGGTCCTGGCCTGCACATCACCTGCAGCCATTGGAGGCAAAGGAGGCAGTGCGGTATTTCATTGGGACTGAGTATTTGGAAGAGGCAGTCCAGGAGTTGAGAAGGAAGATACTTGAAGGTTATCATGGTTTTTAAGGAAGCCAACATGCACACACTAACCATGGAAGCGACTGTGATTTTAGTCTATGCATATTTACTGGGGAGAACACAGGACCCACGGTTATATTTCTGCAAACTGACCGAGGAAAGTACCTCAATTCACACGAAAAGTTGGAAGGATTCGAATTCAAAACAGAGCTTCAGAATGTGTCTGTGTTGCTTCTCTTTGTGGCCACCCTGAGCTTATCTGAACTGGAAACCGAGCCAGTTTCAGCGATTGGTGGTTGTTGTTGTAAAGAAAATAGCAGGAGGATTTGGTATTGTTGCCTTGAGTTATTATTTTTATAATAAATAAAACAAAACTAAAATTATCAGAACAGGAAATTGAATGTTTAGAATTTTAAAAATCTTTAAAATGAACAATTCTGCAGATCACTACTCTCCAATACAAACCACAGAAGGCAAAGCTTTTAAACCTAGATTTAAACCGGTGTCTGGTCCCCGCACTCAATTCGAGCCACCAGCAGAGAAAAAGAGGCTGCTGGTCCGGGCGGGAACCCAAAGGCAGGCGCCCCCGGCCAAGGGGAGCCCCCCCCCCCCCCTTTCTCTCTCTCTCTCTCTCTCTCTCTCTCTCTCTCGGGAAGCCCTGCCGGGGGAGAGGCCCATCCCGTCCCGCCCGGCGCTCTGCAAGGCTGGCGGCGAGGCTCCTTCTGGCCTCCGGGCCTTCTTTCCTTCCTTCCTTCCTTCCTCCGCAAAGGAAGTTTCCTCTTCCCGGGAAGGGGAGCCGATTCCGAAGCCCAGAGCCTTCCTCCTTTGGGGCCGAGTCCCAAGGCTTCCCGACTTCCCCGCCGCCCCAAACCCACCGCCGGAGCCTCCAGGGCTGGGCTGGGCTGGGCTGGGCCGGGGGGGGGGTCTCCTCTTCCTCCTCCTCCTCCTCCTCCCCTTCCTTCACCCCCGCAGCCCTCCCTCCCTCCCTCCCTCGGCCTGGAGCCGAAGCCGGCGGCCCCTTCTTTCCCCGGGGCGGCCCCCCCCCCCCCCCCCCCCCCCGCGGGGCCCGGCCCCCCCCCCCCCCCCCCCCCCCCCCCGGGGCCGAGGCCGAGGCCGGGCGGGAAGCGGCCTAAGCAAGGAGGCCCTTCGCCACTCACCACTTCGCGGGCTCGGGCGGAGAAGCCTCCCCTTCCCCGGGGGGCGCGCCTGGGCCAGAGGGCGGCGGGGTCGGCTCCTCCGGGCGGGACGCCCAGCGCCTTGTTGCGCGTCTTCACCGTCTTGACGGAGGCCTTGAAGAGCGCCGTGATGTCCGCCGCCGCCGCCGCCATGACGGGAGGGAGGGGCCGGGCCCGCAGGGGGAGGGAGCGGGGGAGGGGAGGGGAGGGGCCGGCAAAAGGGCGGCCGGAGATCGCGGGGGGGGAGGGGAGGGGAGGGGAGCGTCTGGATGCCCCCGGGGGGGAGGGGGAGCAGGCAGAGGAACAACTCCCCCCATCCCCCACCGGTCCTCTCTCTCTCTCTGCCCGGATGCCGCCGCCGCCGCCCCGCGGCCCTCCGAGGGTCCCTCCGGGCTCTCTGAAAGGGGCCCGATCCTTCCCGGAGCATTTTCCACGCCTCCTTTGGAGAAGGGAGACGGAGGAGGATTTTGTTTCAATGATTTCTAAGGAGGTTGCAAGTTGTCCTCTACTTACAGCAGCTCATCTAGCGACCGTTCAAAGTCACAACGCCACGGAAAGCGACTTATGACCGTTTATCACACCTTTATGGCATCCCCGAGATCGTGTGATCAAAATTTGGATGCTTGGCAACCGTGTCCCCCTGTCAGGCGATCCCCTATTGTGGCTTTCTGACAAGCAAAGTCAATGGGGAAGCCAGATTCGTTTAACAACCCTGTTACTAAGTTAACAACGGCAGTGATTCACATAACAGCTGTGGCGAGAAAGGTTTAAAATCGGGCAAAACTCTCCTAACAAATGTCTCGCTTAGCAGAGAAATGTTGGGCTCGATTGTGGTCGTAAATCAAGGACTACCTGTATAATTTGCACAAAGAATTACATATTTTTATGTAAACTATATTTACATAATATAGACTATTATAATATAACTATATTATAGTTAATATAACTAATAATATAACTATATTAACTATAATATAGTTATATTATAATAGTCTATATTATGTAAATATAGTTTACATAAAAATATGTAATTCTTTGTGCAAATAATATATATAATATATAATCCCATAATAATATATATAATATATAATCCCAGAGAATTACACTTTACTGCTTTAGTGATCATCCCGTGTTTAGACATACCAGTTGTAGCAATTTCTTACTAGAAGAAAAAGTTATTTTTCCCTGATTTTGTAATAAGATTGCATTTTATTTATTCCATACTTTTCTGCCATGGGAAGAAGAGTAGCTCACAGTGGTGAGCTAAATTTAATGCTAAATTTTATTTTAGAGACAGATAGCTTACTGTGCTCCCTTGAAATCAAGGTTTGTCAGCAAAAGAAACAGTCCTGTTAGGATTTTTTTTTCTTACCGGTAGTAATATCAGATGCAGCCATTGGCCTGTGTTCAAAATAAGCTAAGTTAATTTTGTAGAAGTGAATACAAATTATTTTCAGGAAAGCTGGCAAACATCTTGCTTATCAAATCCCTGAAATTTGTGCAGAGCATGCGAGAAACAAGAGCCCTGTGGCTCTGTTGGGAAGCATTGGGCTCATAATCCAGAGCCGCCTTGAAAGGGATGAGAGCAGCCCAGGAGGTCTGGCTCCTTCCAATGAGTTTTGCATACTGTATTTACATCCATTTTTTGCATCAAACAAGCTTCCTATACAATCCTCTGCTTTTCTATATCTTTATTTGTGTCTTGGAAGAAGATGTAGAGAAACTACCTTTTGAATCTGCAGGTTTAAGGACACAAAATTGGAATGGAGAGCTGCTACTTTAGAAGAGGAAAATATATATCAAAACTACATGGATAGATAAGGTGGGAGAAACAGGATGAAAGTAAGGGTGTGTTAAGCAAGCACAGAATTCTTCACTTAGGAACGAAATGCACATGTACACTCTGCACAATTATTAGGCAAGTGAGTATTTTGACCATATCATTTGTATGCATATTTTCCACCTCCAAATTGTATAAACTTGAATGCTTACTGGATATAAGCATATCAGGTGATGTGTATTTGTGTAATGAGGGAGGATATGGCCTAAGGACTTCAACAACCCATATCAAGTTGTCCCTAATTATTAGGCAGCTTCTTTTCCTTAGGCAAAATGGGTCAAAAAAGAGATTTAACTGACACTGAAAAGTCAGACATTGTAAAACGTCTTTCAGAGGGATGCAGCGCTCTTGAAATTGCTAAGATATTGGGGCATGATCACAGAACCATCAAACGTTTTGTTGCAAATAGTCAACAGGGCACAAGAAACGTGTTGAGAAAAAAAGATGCACCTTAACTGCCAAAGATTTGAGAAGAATCAAATGTAAAGCTACCAGGAACCCATTATCCTCCAGTGCTGTCATATTCCAGAACTGCAACCTACCTGGAGTGCCCAGAAATACAAGGTGTTCAGTGTTCAGAGACATGGCCAAGGTAAGGAAGGCTGAAACCCGACCACCACTGAACAAGACACATAAGTTGAAACGGAAAGACTGGGGCAAGAAATACCTGAAGACAAATTTTTCAAAGGTTTTATGGACTTTTAAGGATGAGAGTGACTCTTGATGGACCAGATGGAGGGCACCGTGGCTGTATCAGTAATGGGCACAGAGTTCCATTTCGACTCCATGAATAGAAGGCTTATGACTGTTATTGAAAATAAAGGTGGCTATATTGGTCACTGATTATTATTATTATTTTAAATGTCAGAAATGTTTATTTGTACATTTTGAGTTGTTTGGTTATTCTCACTTTAACAGATGCAAATAGTGAGATGGGCAAATTTTCATTTAGTTGCATAATAATTCTGCACACTAATAGTTGCCCAATAATTGTATACAGATAGATATTCTCCTAAGAAAGCTAAAACCTCAGTTTTACTTCCTTAAATATTCAGGTCTGAGGTTTATTAACATTTTGGATTGACCAAGAGCACTATAGTTGTTCTCCAAAATTGTGCTTGAGCACAAGGTCAGCTCTTTGTCCCTATGTTAGATTCAGCAGGTGGAACCATTGCATGCCCTGCTAAACATACATCAAGTATTATGTTTATAAATCAGTAATAGATGTTATGCAAGGAAAACAGGCAGTTAAGAAATATAAATAAATAAAATAAATATGCCAGGATACAGAACATCTTAATGTTTCAATTTTTGCTGTAGGTTTTTCTCAAACTTCACGTATTCATGAATCAATCACTCCAGAGTTCTGCATTTAGAGTCTGAGATCACCAAACTTTGGTTACCTGTCTGTCGATCAGTTGGATCATCCATCATTTGTGTCTCTCTCTCTCCATACACACGCATTCTATTCACTGAAATATTTATATCTCCAATCAGCATAGAACACAACAGAATTCTTTATTGGCCAGGCCTGATTGGACACATCTTAGGATCATTAGACGTATCTGTAGTCACTTGTAAGAGGAAGAAAGGTTGCCGCCTCCCTCAAGAAATTTATTCCTGTCGGAACACACACACACATACCCTGTCACCCCTGTTCTTCCAGGGCTTCCTGAAAGGAATGTCGCCTTTGCCTGCCTCTCCCTCCATGACTGGTTTCCGAAGAGGGTCCCTCTCTTACCTGCAAAGTGGGAACCCCAGCCAGGGATTTCTCCTTCTGGGGCAGGATTGGGTTCTCTCTTGAGCACTGGCCCTCTGCAAATAAAAGATGAAAGTCCAAGATTCTTTTGCAAGTTTAAATGGGAGGCTGGGTGTCTGGAAGCTTTTCCATGAATTAAAGTTTTTTTTGGGGGGGGGGGGGGGAAATCCGTGTGTTTGTGAGGCCACTAGAGGGAGCTGAAAGAAAAAAATAACTTAGCCTAAAGAGTCTCAGTATTGTAATCTCCATCCTCAAAAGTTAAGCGTTTGTCCTCTGATATGGCAATACGAAGATGGCCAAGGGCACCTCCAAGGCCCGCCAGGGAGTGCTGATTCTGAATTCTTACCACTGGAATAGCTGCTGGTATCCATATTGGATGTTGTTGTACAGGAGACACGAATTGCCTGCCACTGATCTCCTGCTGCCTGCCCAGCAGGAGGCAAGATTGTGTAACGGGAATCATCCCCATTCACTCCAGGGCCCTGGGTCCCTCTCTCTGGGGCCATGAAACTTCCAAGACAAGGCTGTCTCTTAGGCATTTCTTCCGCCTCCCCAAACCACGGGTTGCTATTTTCATGGTAGCCCTTTGCCGTTCGAGATGTCTCCTAACCGCCTGGGGGTCCAAACAAAAGAGCAGATGGAGCTGCTTGGCCTTCAGGGCCCTTGTGTAAAAGAGGTGAGGAAAGAAGGTCCTGCACGGTTTGACTTTGTGGGGGTCAGGCATCTGAAGGGCCCTTGGCTTCTGGCAGACCCAGAGCTCTGCAGAGGGAGGGGGCTCAGGCTCACCATTTCTTAGGAGGAGAAAGGGGGTATGCACAACAGAGACAGCAAGAAATGCCTTTTTTCATTTAATTTGATGTTTATTTGAATTCTTTTGTTATTGGTCATTTGGCTTACCCTCTGAAGTATGATACCATCAAAAACGTTGGAAGAAGAGGAGGATTTTGGCAAATTGTGGCTCTAGAGCCCCTAGGAAAATAACAATCATCCTTGGTGGATATAATGAGGTGGTGTCTTATTACATAATTGAGGAGACAGTCTTGGTTATAGGCATGTTGGTTCACTTTTCACACTAAATTAATCATAATAAGCATCTGCTTTGAATAAAGAGAGTTTTGTGATAATTCAACCATGACCTCTCTGGAAGCCCAAACAGTTTTGCCTCACTTTCTCAGTCTGGATTACTCTTTTGAAATGTTCCTTCTTTGCTTTAGGATAATCACCATGTTAACATGAACTGATTAATCCCATCATTGATATTATGACTGAAGTGGACATTTTCCAGCAAATTTCTGGCGATGACACCATCAGTTTCATCACCCGCATCTGAAGAAACTCAGTGGTGCTACACAGCATCATTAGCTTCACGTCTGCACAGAAAACCTAAGCAATAATGTCCACCCTTCCCTCTCCTAAATATGAGTTGCCGTGCCCTGCTCTGGGAGACAAGGGTAAGGAAATCTAATTGCCATTGTGGGTCCTGATTAATGCTGGAAATCGGATCTGCTAGAAACGTACCCTGTGTGAGTTCCAAGTTAGGACTTCAGGAGCCCGTTTTCCAAACTCAGACCT